ATGTGTCGCATTTTATCAATGAAAACAGCGATCTCATTGGAAGTCTGACTTCACTTTAGGATTCCTTATTTAATTTACTACTTATTTATCTTGTAATTATTAACGATGTTTTTAGCAAAAAAAATGTGCGTAAACTCACATCGTAAATTATATGCAGTTATATCATCATAATACGATTGAATTTCTTCATTTTTATTTCGCGCTGTTATTTGAATTATTCATGTTCAATTATAACATTATAACACAGAGCGATACAAAAATCATAAAAAAAATTTGTAAAAAAAACCGTGATAAAAAATTCTTTGCGATCGAGATCTTGTAGACATCAATCTTCAGAAGCACCAAGAACAGACTGCTAATTTTACATCCTTAAAAAAAAACACGAGACATACATATGTATGGTATATGCAACAATTATGAATGCAATCTAAAAACATAAAAATATATAATAAATGAGTTACCAAGTAAGCAACATCGTGTTTATAACAGTAAATTTATTAACGTGTAAATCGCCATGATTGGCATCTAATGTCTGATTCAGTTACTTAAATAATCAATGATAAGTGATTGGCGTTATTGAAATAAAAAAAAAACCGCTTGTAAAGAGAAATACCATTTAATATAATCATTTGAATAACACAAGAGATAACTAGATAACACTAGATAACAATGTAAAGTGAAAAGTACAAATTGTAAGCTGTAAAGTCATACTATCCATGAGGATAAAGTCTTAATTATATCATTATTTCATCTATAAACATTTTAAACATTTATGTAATAATAAAAAATTTCACTATAGCAGTAAATTACACAAAAATTTTTCAACAACGTGTTAAAATTATTTGTCATTGATAAAAAATAAAATTTGAATGCAAAATATGTATGTCCTCCTTCGTCGATTAATTCCATCATCCGTGTATTAATAACAATTGTACACAGTTGCATGAAATAAATGAATTAAATGGAATCCTGCAGGTATTATTTACATATTTTATATATAATCGATTCTAATTAATATGACTACGTTGTTCCGCATACGTAATTTATCTTGTTCATCAGGAAACATTTTGCAGTCAGGAAACATTATTTTCGCGTGTGCATAAATTTTGCGCAGTAAGCGCGCAGTTCTAATTATCCCCAAATACAATTCTGAGAATTTTTATTAACATAGTAGCAACAGTATATGATTTAACAGTATATGATGTATCCATTTGGCGCTGATTTTTTGTTACGATGTACTTGAACTAATCAAACAATAATGGAGAATAATATATTACAGGATATCATTGGCTATTGCGAACTCGAGATTATCTGCATGCAATTCTACAAACTGAATATATTAAAACATTCTCTGTTTATATATCTTTACAAAGCTATTGCCATCAAATGTGTAATGACATCTCGTTGTTCTTGTCAAGAGATTTTTACTATAAGAGCTTTCACGTGGAATAACTTAATGCAAATTGTCTTCATGACGCGTCTTACTCGTTATCAACTCTGCGATAAATCTGTTCGACAACACAAGTCATTAGAGCGGATAATAAATGGAGATTTTAAATATGCTTAAGCCTTGACGCAAGTCAACGCGAAGGTTTTCTATTTCTCGTAATGTAATATTTATAAAATATCGGACAAATTGTACACTAGAGGATGAAGATAACTCGAAAGTATAAACTACGAACTTTAAAATTATGCGTTTATGCGATAGGTAGATTTTCATAAATGTGGAATTAAACTTTCATCCCAAAACCCCTGTTGATTTTCAGATTCATCCAGTACTCTTCTAAAATAAAAGTTGAATGAAGTTAATAATTATATAATTTACTCGGAAATATGTACAATTATAATCACAATTAAAATCACAAGTATTACACAGTAGTTTATTAATATAATAATCCAATAATTATAAATACCAATGAGAAATACTGTTTCAAATTTGCTAATATTATATCATTATTTTATGACAAATTAATAAATTCTTAACACTTTAAGAATCTGTTCAATACTAAATAATCTCATCTAAATTATATTTAGTGAACAATGTTTTCTTATAACATGGAAGAAATCCAAGGAGATAGATATTTGTACTATTCATTGTTGAAAACATAAGAATTTATATCTCTTTTGTATAATATCCCTGTATATAGATTAATTCACTAACTAAAACCCAACAAAAGTGTAATAATGTCATGTTTATTAATGAATTGTAATATAATCAATTGTAATGTCTTATTCGCCCAGCGTATAATATGAATCCCTGAAAAATTAATTTTGTATATTACTAAATCTTATTAATACTGTAAGAGAGTTTCATCGTTTAGATGAAACAAAATAAAAATAACAAAATTTATTATAAAAGAAAAAGAGACAAACTCTTAAAACTGTTTGAAAATTTAGAAAATTGACCTATTAATATTTATTATATATATTTATTATTTACCTATAATTATATACCAATCTTCGTTTTTTCCTATAAATTATTGTCGCTACTACCGAAATTCCTATTAACGTAGTAGTTATGATAACTGCAACTAAACAAAAATATTATTAAGATCTTAAAAATTTAGATTTTTGTTAAAAGAATAATTTAATAATTATTAAAGGAGATACTTACTGAACATTTTATATGTAGATATTGATACATCTTTCGATTGTGTCCTAAGGCACTTTGTTATGTGAGATAAAGTACCATTAACCATGGGACATTTCAAATTGAGTATTTCACAAAACAAGGGAAATAGGTCCGTATTGTTAAAAGGCTCTAATTTACATTTTGGCATAAAAGCAGGTCCATTCGCGAAGAAGAATGGATGCATCTCTTTAGCTTCATTATTATAACCATGCAGTCCAAATTCTGTCCGATTATCCACTAAATAGGAACCAATGACTCAACATTAAGAATTACATGTTTATCTATATAATAATAAATATATGGACAATATAAAATTACCTGTGATATTAAATTTCTGTTTATAAAATTCTATAGCATCATAAAGGTTTTGAAATGCGTATCCAACTTCAGCTATGACAAAAATGGGTCCAACACGAGTATTATTGCCATAATGATACTTCTTTGGGATATCTTCTCTTCTATAAACTTTGAACGTTTTCGTTTGGTCTGCAGCAAACTTCAAATTCTGATAAATAATCTCTTCTTTTCCTAAAAGTATTTAAAGAAAAAGATTTAGCAAAATAGAAATAATTTTATGCAAATCATATCGTAAAGCAATCTTACCAGGATGTGGAAAAATATGTAATCCTGGAGAAGTTCCCACAAATGTATAATCAGTAACGTTGATGTAATTTGTCAAATTTATTATTCTTTCCATTGTAACCGATGCCATACCATGATCGCTTAAGTGAATCACGTTAAGAGCATCTGTCAAGCCGTAATAATCAATTTTATTGTGCATATATTTGGTAATATTATCTAATTTTTGGAGAATTTCATTAAATTCAGGACTGTTTATTCCTATGGCATGACCATGATAATCTGGGTCCTCAATATATAATATCCCTAAGTTTATTGGATTTGTAGGATGTACAAACCACGACAATAATTCATCAATTCGCTTCTCCCACGGAATCGTATCATTAAAAGCCTAAAAAAATTACAAACATAATCGATACATGTTCTTAGAATCTAATATGTTATTCTATATATTAACGCAGTACATACTTGTGCGAAAGTAGGTGATGTTCCTTGATATGCAAACACAGAGCCTGGCCACATCATTGTACCACTATGTCTGCCATTTTTTTCATTAACCGTCTGAAATAATGCGTTTATGAAATATAAAACATATCTAATATATATCCAAAATATAATTATCATCCTGCTACATACCCAAATAGGTAAAATATTATTGTTGTAATGATACAACTCGTATGAATACTTGGTAGTATTATTTTTACTAGAATCAAAAAATTCATTATCTACAACCCCATGTGTTTCTGCATAAAATCCTGTTGCCATGGTGTGATGATTTGGGAAGGTCTTAGTGACAAAAATGTTTATCATATAGTCAGTGGAAGTACCCTGAGCCTTTAACTGGCTCATAAACGGTGTCAGCTTTCTCTCGAAGTAATCATATCTATACAAAAAAAAATAAAACAAAATGAAATGAATGTATATCTTTGTTTTATTTATTTTTTCAAACTATAACATATTTATATCGCTGATAGAGCAGACTACTATATTAAATATCATGTTAAATTATAATATATCCAATATATATAATATATCCTATCTAATACAAAATATAGAAAATTATGAATCAATATATAATGTATTAATAAATATGATAACTGATATGTATAATATAGAATAAATAAATATAATGTTTTTGGTTGTCCTGTAAAATCTTACAAAAAAAGAAATTTTGCTGAAAAATGTAACTAGATAACAAATTTATAATATTTTTGAGATTTCCACTTTTGACTTCCACTATAGAATATATCCATATTATACATTCTTGAAATATCAAAACATTCCAAGAATGAATGTGGACATACAGATAAGGCACGAAACACAGTTTCTGTATACATATAGATAAAAGTAATTACATGGACTACTTAAATATTTATATTGGACACTCAAGCTGATAAAAATTTCAACATTATCATGCTTGAGTATTTTATATAATTATTTTGACAGTCCGACATAATTATTATCAGATCTGTGTCTGGCTTAATTTTTATATATTTCAGTAAAAGCTCTTTTTTTCACGTAACAATAATTTTTGTGAATTTTATACATTTTGTCTTTATGTTACCACGAATATTCTCATACCTGAACGCATCGTAGGAAACGATGAGTAGTTTTGGAACATCTGGCACGGGAATCGCCCAGACATTCAGCAGGAAGAGAAACAGCGAAACAAATGGGGCTGCAGAGATCATGATGACGCAACCACGGCGATTCTCGGGAACATGGGAAGGTGCAAATTATCGTCCCATAATCGTGAAAACGATCACGGAGATACCGCTCATGATTGCATTTATAACCTGTTAGATATATCAGTTGACCGGACGACGCCGAGCCAAATGTACAGTGTGCTCCAATTTTTGTAAGCAGCGTGAACTGGCGTGAACTGCGTGAAACTGGTCGCTGCCACCGCCGCGCAGCGGACCGTCTCATGACTAAAAAAAAAATCTGTCCTCGTAGCTGCACCATCTTACATTTATTGCACTATTGTGCAGTCAATTGTGCACTTAAAACGAGATAGCGAGTTCTGAAGAACCATTCGTCCACAGTGGACGCATCACGAGTCGAGTGTTATTATTCGATATATTTTTGAAAGTTTGGTCGACTTTGACTGAGCCTAGAAATACATATAGTCAAACACCGCGGATTTGGACGTCCCGTCTGTTCATCTTGACGCATGTTCATATGTTGTAGACGTAGATATTCAGTGTTTAAGTGAGTTACGTCATTTTTCGCGGATATTGCATCTTAGGTCTGTTTTTTATTAGGTCTATTCTTTCCGGCTGAAGTTTTGCATCAATTCATCTTTCTTCCTCTTCTCCTGAAGAGAAAAAGAAGAAAGATGAATTGGTGCAAAAATTCAGTCAAAAAGAACAAGCCATTGCACTATGTGCACCAGTTCATAGAGTGCAACAATAAAAAAACAGGTCTATTATTTTGACAAAGGTATCAATCATGAAATTTTATCCTTAGAATGGAAAGTGAAAAATTTTTCCATTAATTTCAATGGTAAAAATTTTCACTTTTCACCCTAGGGATAAAGTTTCATGATTGATATCCTGGGACTCGATTATGTATTTTGAAATGAGGAAAATTATAAAAATGTGCAATGATTACTAAGTATTGACTAATTAAATTATAAATATTCTAGTGAATTTATTCACTTTTGTAATTTTCATCTCATTTCAAGATGTATAATCGACTCCCAAGCCGTATTATTTGTACCTCCGTTTATTCCATTGGAGGCAAGAACTATTAATTAAGAAGAAAAAGAAGAAAGAAAAAAAACGAGATGGTGGACAGGAGGGATATCTCTCTTAGAAATCTCAGGATTATCAGGTGCTCGAGAGTTCGAATGTATAGACAGTAATGACTTGTGGAATGTATAGACAATAGTGTTTATTATCTAATGTATCTAATTTCATCAAAATCGGAGGTGAGATAGCTATTCTGAAGAATTACCAAAATTAATCTTATATTTATATATTGCAAATTTATGTAAAATTTAAGCTGCATTTAAATAACTTCTTGTGGAGGCCTTTCAAAGAGCAAAAGTGGAGTTTGTTATAAATGTGTCTGCAATTGCTGAAACTTCACACACACACACACACACACACACAAATCTATCTCATAGTTATATCTTGTTGCATTTTCAGAAGTAATTAGTAATTAATTAAGAGATACAAAGAAAAAGAAAAGAGAGGTAGAAATATAGCCATAAAAGATATATTCTTATAATTTTACAATTTTAGACAATTACGTGGAAATTTGACTGGAATATTGATAAAATATTGCATCTTAGATGAGTAATGAGACCTTATCTCCAATAAAAATACATTCACTGGATATCTTGTGAAGTATAAAATAAAGTTTTGAAAAATTAAAATTAAAAGTTTATTCATAACATATCAAGTTTATCACAAAATGTAATTAATATAATGTTGTGCAGGATCATAAGATTATAATGAAGATATAGAACACAAAAAGAAAATATTTACACAGAAACACAGAGAAAGTTGACATGGATATTCAAACATTTGTATTTTTCGATTTGGAAACAACTGGACTGATCCAAGAAAATGTCATGCCAAGAATTACAGAAATTGCTTTAGTCGCCGTCTCGACAGAATCAATACGTAATGGTAACAAAAATTGCCTGCCGAGAGTCTTACATAAATTGGTACTCCCAGTTAATCCACAAAAAGTTATACCAGTACAAGTAGAGCACTTGACAAGTGAGTTATTTTATTAGTTGTTATGTATTTTATTAGTTATTTAATGGCAAATTTAATCACTAGTACTATACTGACTAAATATTTTTATATAAAATACAGTGGCACAATTTTGACAAGGAAATAATACATAATTTTGCAGAATTATATAATGAGGATATGCAGGTACTGCAGCCTTTTAAAAGTGAACTTTATGAATTAATAATATACTTTTTGCAACGTCTCACACCGCCAATTTGTTTCGCAGCACATAACGGCAACAAATTCGATTATCCAATATTCTTAGAGGAACTTAAACATATCAATAAGGTAATAAATGATTTATATAACAATTAGCTCTTTCATTTTTTATTACATTTAATAATAATCACCTTTAATAATAATTATCATTTAATAATAATAATAATAATAATAATAGTTCCTTTTTTCCTATTAAAGATACTTAGTGACGAAATTCTCTGTATTGATACATGGAAAATGTTCGACGATTTCTTTAAGAAAAGAAACTTGCAATCCACAGTATTTCAAGATTTGTTGAACGATGAATTCAATGACTCGCTTTCCACATTGGATATGGATGTGATGACGGAGGAAAAATCCAAAATTATTGCAACGACATCCACTGCGCAAACAATGTTTGTCTGTGACGATAAATGTATTAAAGCCGTAAATATAAAAGTAGATAATTGTAACAATGATGTCCAATCGTCAAAGAATCCTATGCAAGAGGCGAACGAAAAAACACCAAAGGCTCAAAAAACGAAACCAGAAAATGTCTTCATGCAGCGACCAATCAAGAAAAACAACTTGAAAAAAAGATTGAATTTTGAGTTTGAGAGACCAAGTAGCTTAAAACTTATTGCCATTCATGAGCATATAGTTGGCAAACACTTTGACGATCATCATACAGCTGAAGCAGACTGTCTCGCTATGATACGCTGCGTTAGCAACATTGCTGATTTCTTCCTTGATTGGTCAAAGAATCATGCAATTCCATTGACTTACTGCAAAAAAAAAAATAAAACTGTATATTAATTGATAACAAACAAATAGCATGAAAAAATATAGTGTAAAATAAAATAAATATAATGTAATGTAAAATAAATACGTGTGTTATCGTGAAGTAAAGTACAAAGCTAATATGAAATTTAAAATAATATTAAGTATATTTCTTCCTCCATATTGGCAATGTTGTATCAAAAATGAGAAGTTATCTCATAATTCGATGTGGTTAATATGGCATGAAGGAAGAGTGCCTTAATTTCATGCACAAATGTAAATTATTTATTAGATCAAAAATGTTTATTCTTAAAAATCTTAAATTGACTTAAATTCATATTTTTAGAATTTATATCTAATTTTAGACATCTCCATATCTTAAAAATATAAATTTAAAAGAAATTCGTTGAAATGTACTATCTAGTTGCAATTGGCTTTAAAAATTACGATTTTATATATGAGTATTATGAGTGATTGATAAAGAAAGACGTGTTCATAATTGAGCGACAAGTTTGTAATAACAAAAATATAATGATAAATTTTTTATAATATAAAGAATTCATATTTTTCATGTATTCTTTATGAATATTATATAAAAATTAAGAGATAATATTAATTCCGTCTGTAATATTAATTCCGTCGCATATTATTTACAATAACACACGGTCTAATTCGACGAAGCATGCTTTTTAATCTAATTAGTATTATCTACAATTTTTACGTTTGCTTACTCATTTATAGTATATATGTAAATTTTAATATCTCTTTTACCTTTTGCAACACTTGTAATCTACTCTGTAAGTTGCAAAAAGCATCTTATTTTGCTGTTAACTTACAGATTGGAAAGCTTAAGTTTTTTTATATAGACAAAAATGAAAAATGTAAAAAAATTATAAATATTTATATGCAATAAATTAATTATTTTATTGATTGAAATGTGTATATATTTTTAACATGTCATTCCTTGAAAATGCGAAACAATCTTAAATTGTCAATCCAAATAATCATCATAATTGAAAACATTTTTTCTTGAATATTACATGTGTACAATTTAAAAAAAAATGGAATTTCGTGTAAAAGTTTATTCTATATTTTTTACTTCTTACATTTATATCTTACGATTATTTACTTATACTTACGATTTTCAAGTTCAGATTCTGGTTCCGGTTCCGATACATATTCCGAATTTATCAAAATGTCTAATTCGTTTTTAGTTACTATAATCAAAAATTCAAGTGAAATGTAATATCGTGACATTAATTTTTATAAATTATTTGAATTAATTTGAATAATTTTTAATTAATAGCCACTTATTCTCTATATTATTAATTTTTATATTTTAATATATAAACATCAACAATAGTTAATTTTCTAGTTGACCATGTATGTGTATATATCAATTCGTATGTATTTATATTCGAAGCATGAAGAAAGTGTAAGTACTCACAAACCCATCTAGCTATTGCATACGCATCATTTCTTATGTTCTTCCTTATACTTTTTAAAACATTATCTAATCTATGCTGCATATTTCTCATTTGCTCAGGTCCGATTTTCTCCAGCAAATTGTAATCTTTGTCCCAATAGAATTCTATTTTTCCATTGCGAAGAACATCGCGAAGTTCTTCTAACATCTATAAAAGCGTTGCTACTTCATTATTTTAATAAATAAAAGTCAAACACTTTAAATCAATTAGGGTTAATAATAATAATTTTAAGATTTGGATTTAGAATAATAGCTTATTATCATTTATTAGTACATGCAATTTTTAAGTCTATGTTATTTATAGCTACAGGCGCTGTAATTCATTTAATAAAAAAAATTATATTTTAGCACGTTACCGTGAAGAATAATAAAGTATATGATTTTTTTTGAGAAATATGAAACATTTCTTTTTTATTGTAACATAATGTTTCAAGATAATAACTTGCGATGCTGCACCATTTTTGAGTATCTCTCAATTTCTAATAAAAAATATACATTATATATAAAATTATATAAAATAAATTGTATAAAATTATAAGTTATTATAATAGACATAAAATAAAGATTAATACTACAAATAAATAAAAGTTTAATGTAACTAATATTCATTGAAAAGGAAATAAAAAACAAAGAAAATTACATAGGGATACTTACGATGTTAAATATAAAAGATAGACTAAATTTATTCGTATTAGTATAAATAAATTGTTTATTACTCCACGATATACCTTTAATTGTCGTATTACAGGCTTCATAATCGCATAATTATAGTTACAAATCATGTCTTTTTCAAATTCGTAAAAACATAATCGCCAATAGCGATGTTGTGAATCATTAAAACCTTTACTGTTATCTAATGGTTTTGGAACTGCAGACCAACGTCTATTCTCTGAAGCAGACTATTATAAAACAGGAAGTGATTAGAAACATGCTATTTAATTATTGAATTGCTGTAAACAATTAGTTTTGCTCCATTAAGTTTTGTTTTAAAATATTATAATATTGATTTAATAAATATAATTGTTTGAATAAAAAGTTAATTATTAAATTCAAAAAAGATTAAAGAAGAACTTCATATAACATACAAATTTACAACATTGCTGCAATATTTGTTATTGTAATACTATTGAAATGTTGTGATTGAAACTTGCAGTGAAATATAACGGAAACGCAGTATCTAATATGTCAGAAAGTATACATTTTTGAGAAAAATGTCTTAGACAAAAGTAATAGAGTTTAATAAGATATATTTACTAGTTTTATTGGTTTGATCTTGGGTGGCATCAACTTTGACTTGACCTTGACAATGTGATTTGATCCAAGGTCAAATCAATAAAGACTGTTCCATATTTTTGGCATATTTTAAAATGCTTATTACTCTGTTTCTAGAAGTCTCTTTCACTCGATTAAGTTAACATGGGGATCATTTAGGTTCAATTTCACAACTTATAGTTAACTTTTAACTTATTTTAATTTAGCTTATATAGAAATTTAGAATGAATTCTGACACATTTTAACTACATTTCGAACGCATTTCGGATAAATTTTTCTATCAGAGTTTGCTTCAATCTAGTATATTATAATTTTTTTATTACGTACTTGTAATATGTCACGTTTTGAACATCTTGGTGGCATAGTAATACGAGGCGAAAAAGCTAAAACAGGAACTACATCGATGTTGATAATTCTTTCAGAAAGTACGATTAGAAGTGTAAACGCTGGTCCTGATTTTTTTATCTTTATCTAAACAAAGAAAAGATATGCGATATTAGTTACAAAATATACTAATTTAAGCTTCTCTGTTATATGATTCACGATATAATATATCACGCGACAATTTTAAATAGCCAAATATGTCGAGAATAATTTGATCGTTTATTACAATCTCGGATATCAGTAAAAATCGAACAAAATTGAAAAAAATATAATTTAATAGCAAAATGATAATATTTACTAGCACTCTCTAGACATTTTTCATCCAGTTAGACTATAGAAAAATATAGATAAATATAGAACAAAAATTAATAATTTAATAATTAAATAAATGTTATTATTTTAATGGTGATTAAATAATAGACTATTCCGTTTATACTAATTCAATTATACTAATTCATTTTTTTAGTATACGTTATACCCGAGAAAAAATATTTTATATATAATTAAATTATAAATAAAATTATATAAAATTATATAGAGGAAAGTCACATATCATTTTGTTTTTAGACAATATTTCTTAAACAAAAGATAAAAATAAAAGTATACGTAAAGTACCTACAAGTGAATGTATACAAGATATTTCAGAATCTTTTTACCTCGTTATAAAACATTTTTATTGAATTATATGCATATTTATTTTAGGCTGTTCTGCAAGATGCAAATATGTTATAGTTTTTCAAGAGTTTTTCCATGCACGACTGTCTTCAGTTCCAATTAAGTTGGCTCATCTGTTTTACAAATAGGTGTGACGGTTGGCATCCTAATTTTAAATTTTAAATCGTGAAAAAATTAAGAGAAAAAAATAACAAATGAAATTGATTTAGGAAATTACAAGCATTAAAAATGACATAATATTCAATAATATATTCACTATTATTTAAACTATGTAATTTGCAAAAGAAAATCGTAAGAATTTTATTTTTGCATTCATAGAATTTGTTTTTAGTTGATTTAGTATAGAAATAAGTCACAAATACATGAATTATGAGTTTGTACTTTTTCTAATTAGCTAAACAGATCATAATTTTATTAGTATTAATAAAGTATAATAATTAATTTCTGAAGGGAATGTCACTTTAGGAGACTATATGTCAATATCGGCAACTTTCTTCTATGATTTTATATATTTGTAAAT